ATAACGGAAGTCCATTTCATGCGTCGCATTTTCACTTATCATCAGTTCAATCACAATCATTAGTTTCACCATCATTTGACTTGCACTGAATTCAGAGRGTTTAAATTTTGACATCAATCAAAATAGTTCGCACTAATTAAATCTAAGTATTTTACTGGGAACCCTCTGATTTAAACAGTTAATCACATTTAGAAATGTTAGAACTAGAATATTCCATCATATGTAGGGATCCCGGCACTGGCTAGTATCCAGGAATCACCGCTGAGAATAGCTAGCCCTTAACATTTGCAGTCAGTCAATCAGCAAATGACCCGCCCCACCCTCATTGACATTGGCTCTCGAGCTTGCTTACCCTTCAGAAATCCTTATGAAAACTTTCTTTGACATCTTCTACTTTGACGAGTTTAGTTTTAATTTAGTTAGTCCGCCAAAAAGGATTGGCAGGATAACCGCAATAGCATGGCCAATTACTGCGTCCATTCATGAGTTATTGTTTGGGATACATTTATTGGAAACATTGAGGACCTCTTTACAAAAAGACAATGCRCTGTTAGGGTGGTTTTTAAACAAACCGTTCCACCATACGTTTCAGCGTATTCTTTATTTTGGTCAATTTTGTTTGTCATTTCGGCGTACTTGTATCAGAATTTCTTTACTTTGCAACTATGCCAATCTCAACGTTCAAAAACTTCAGTAAAAATGAAGTGAAACACGGATTGCCATGCGCGAAACTAAAGGCTGATTTACACGGTACGATTTCGACTTGTAGTATACGTACGATTTTCCTACTACAAGTCGTGGGATTGGTTTAAAATCCTACTACAAGTCGTAGGTTGCGTAGGACTGTTGTAGACAAGTCGTAGGGGCTATATTTAAAGAAAACTGGCTTTGTATATGGAATTACATCAAGTTGTAACCAAAATTTGATACTTTTTGTTAACCAGTTTGTTACCCAGAGTACGTGATTCGGAAAAACTGCACCTACATTGATCTATATTGTAGGTATAATGAAAGATTTCAAAAGGCGTATGGAAAGGTCAACTTACAATGGTGTTTGAGGTGCACTTTACGAGATAATATCAACCGGCTCAGGAACTAATCAGATAAACTAAGCTTCGTTAAATGAAATTCGGTTTATTAATTATTKCATTGTTTTGTTTGAAAACATCGAGAACGATGGACAAGACTCAACTGGTCGACTTCATAAGCGCGTACTAAGTTTTACGAACAAAACACTGTATTTTTTTTCTTATCTGTCAAAATGAAAGTGACCGTATTACGGACAAGTGGAATCGAGTATGTAAAATTATGAGCAAGTGAAACTATTTGTATCACAGTCTGAACGACTTTTCAGCTCTTTGACCCAGGTTGACATAAGCTACTGRTAACTGAACTATTTTTGTATTCAAGATAGCAATCTTGTACCACTTTATTCCCACATTTAGATGTCGAGGTGCCTCCCATGCAGATTCCCTTCTGAACATTATTTTATAATTTAATCAATTCTTCTCAGTCGAAAACACACATAAAACGACCTATTCACTTGCCCTATCTAGACGATAATACGCGCTACTGCATATTTCAAKCTTTTATTACATAACTTCTGTACTTATTGCCTCGGGCGCTTAGCGCAATACGTGTTGGAATTTTTCTGTAAAATGGCCTTTGACAAAGCAATTTTAAACTGTGTTTCAAACTGTCTTCAAGTCTGGTTTCCGCATTTTTGAAAACTGTACAATTGTACTGATTTTTTTTAACTATCGGAAATCTGGACGAATCCATTAAGGATTCGCTGGAACCCGTCCTTACGGCCAGGAAGCTTAATCTGCGAACATAAACAGACACATACCTAAACCTTACGTTAACTGTCTTTTAAGTAATATTTTTGTAAAAGCTTTGGAAACAGAGAGAGAGAGAGAGAGAGAGGTATTTTCGTCGCTTTTAGAACATTTTGTAGCAATAAAATCTTTCATAGATCTAAGATCTAAGAGATTAGGCAATGTTAAGTGATGTCATTTTTAACAGCAAAGCATGATGATAGTCCTCGACCTGTGCACGTCCGCGAAAACTAGTCAAAGTCAATTTTACCTTTCTTATTTTCTATAAAAGCAATAGTTGTTCCGTTTCCATAGAGAAAACGCAAAAACGTTCATGGGATATTTTAATGGCAATTAAAACAAGCGCGGGCGCGCGGGCGAGGACTACACCTCCCATCATGCTTTTGGTTGTACAAGATGGCGTCGCGTCGTTGCCAAGGCTATGTGCCGCTATTTAAAGAATGGGTTTTCTTAGTTTGTGAACTTCAATTGTTTTTTAATGACAAATGGCAAGTCTTCTCATTTCGATATTGACGCAGGAGGTTCAGCTTATTTTTAAATAACATGAAGCTGTTGATAGATCATTAGTGGTGTCGTTCACAGAGAGGTTACGGCCTTCACATTTTATGAATTCACGGCATTGTTTTCTCGTATCGTTAATAGAATTAACTAACAAGTATTGTGTTTACAAACATTACAAACAAACACAAACGTCCGTGAAAATGGAATTCGTTTTGTGATCGTATTAGTTCTTGATAAAATACTTGAACGCTTCGCCTTCAAAGGCGTAAAACCCCACTTGTAAACTTTGTCAAGGAGATTTCCATTTGCTATTTTTTGGGATTTCCATTTAACCTTATTGTATCTTGGTTGTGGGTTTATGACTTTAATCCTATCTTGTTCCGACCTTTTAAGTCACATACCTTGGACACTACGTTTTATTTTTTAAGTGCACAATGTGCAGAGTTTTCGCTTTATTTAATTTTTTTTTTTAATGAAGTGAACAACACGGCCAACGATTGACTGTATAAATAGCGGCTTTCTATTCTTCGAGGCTGATGCAACCACAAAAACCAAACCACAAAACTGACTCTTTTGTTGCTCGCATCGCTATTACTACACGTACGAGGCGGGAATCACGATCTAATGCGCGTATTTTATCCCAAGGTCGACTGGCATGACGTCACAGGTAAAGTCACGTGATTTAATAAGTTTATCCGCGAAACAAGAAACTACAAGAGGTCATTTCCTGAGGTACCGTCAACTTTTGTACAAAACTCTTTGCATAATTGGCATATTGCCGGAGTTCCGGACATTTACAAAGATATCGAAAAAGAACATACAAAAGATACCTTCAGGAAAAAAGCTAAACGTTAAATATATAAACACTTAAGAAAATTCACAAAGATCTAAAAAATCCTTTAAAATTCGGTGAATAATGAAATTCTATTGTTTCAGTGCTATATTTTGGCACCACGCGGCGGACAAAACTGGACGAAGTCCAAATCGTGCTTCAACTTCGTGGATAATGTACTAGCTGCTTTGATTTTTTATCAAAATATAAACGTTAGCATGATGTTATAAGAAATAAAGCTGTTTACAACATAAGTATAGCTTGACTTGTACGAGGCGTGTCGGAAATGGCTTTTTTGGACTATAAAGTGTCCACAAGTAAATGTTTTGTAAATAGCGTTATGTAATTCTTGTGCTGTGGAGGATTATTGGTGATGCATTTGGTATCTCAGATATATTGCGCTGTAATGAGACTTCGTACAACAGCAAAATGACATTGAGAAACAGAACCGCTTAAAGCAAAAAAGGTCAATTCTTTTGCGTTTGGTACGGCCATCAGAGCGTGCGCCCGACACGTATGAAAAAGTATAATCGTATTTTGACTGACAATCTTTAGGGATGTCAGTTGAGCTCCCATTTGCGCGAATAAATCAATTTTCAGGAGACCAAAACGATTAATTTTGCCAAAGCTATCAAAAAATGAGAGACCGCATCAGTAATTGGTCGGGGACCGTGATGATGCGGTTTAATAGCAAAGKGTTACCRAACTWATCACATGAATAACTGCATCAGCACAACTAGAACAGCCCTAGTCAAATCATACTACAATGAATTCTTATAGAAGAAATTATGATATCAAAAAAGATACAATGTAACAGAGATCGGAAGACCACAGAATGAACTCTTGCGGCCCGAGAGATAAACTCTTTACAAGRCCTGATTCTTGTGTATTTGCGTAACAAATGACGAAGGACCCGTCCAAGAACAAGTAACGAACACTCATACTAGTTGAATTACTGTAATAGGCTAAGCGTCAAGAGGTTGTCTGAGAATTGAGACACCCCCAACAGTAGCTTTGATACATTTTCTAGACATGTCTGGTCTGTTGTGGCGATATACCACACCCCATAGATGATCGGTAAACGACTGGCTGCCCACATTCTACCCTTTCTTACCTTAGCGCAAGATAGGTCCAGTAGCTTCCCCTGAGGATTCAGGAATGGCTTTTTTCGTGTWACGCGTTCCAGTACGTTGGTGGCTCAAAAAGATTTGATTATTTTCTGACGAAGCTGGTGCGAGCGTGATATGGAAAGGAGAGTTTGTTTTCGTTGTGAAATTCAAGCGGTTTAAGAAACGCAACGAACCTCGTGACCGAAACCAGAGCCAGCTAATCAAGGAAAAGATTTTATTGTGGTTCCTGGCAACAGAATGATTCACGTCACTTATGCACGCTTTAATACCTTGCTGGCGGCATGCGCTGAGATCGTCAGCGTAAAGTCGATAACCTTGAACTCTTAAAAGRACCAATCAGRACTCGAGTGAAAACTTGTTAGAACACGTTAAATCAATTTCTCGGCTTGATTAGAAAAACATGATCTTCGCAAGTGTTCTTACTCCCAATTTAAGGTCATTAATAAAGAAAATTTAATAAGTAAACTTTACAACTCAGCACAAAACTAAAATGGAGATAAGAGAAAAAGGCGCGAAGTTTGCAAAGTCCAAATCCCAATGAACACGTGTAGAAAAAGCACACAGTCACACTACCTATTGTATCATTGTATACCATTTATGAATACATCATATCCTGATRGCTATCACAGATTTATCCGAATTGATCCGTGAGCTCTAAGGGGGATGTGGTTTATGTATGCGCCCCCTTAAAATAGGGAACAAAACCCAAAAGGACTATGATAACTGTCTGTGTTTGGGTTCTAGACACGCAAACACGGAACCAAAATATAGACTACGACGGACGAGAAAAGAKATATCTAGACATAACCAGTGCGTCGAGTTTTGTTGGAATTGTTCCATGAAGGTCAAGYCTTAGTCATTTTTAATCATATACCAATCATGCTTGTCATCTATGTAAAGCAGACATTGACGGCATATGATAATAAGTTGGAAGAGAGAACGAAAAGAAAGATAATAATAAAAAGAGAGGAAGAAATGAAAAAAAAAAATAAAGGTTGAATTAAAAGAAAATGTGAAAGAAAAATGAAAAAGGAATATGACTGTCAGTTTCCAGGAGAAACTTTGTTTGTTTTTTCTTCTTTTAAATTACTTATATCTTTGAATTAAGAAATTTTTTCGTTGAAGTCATTAATCGATCAAAAATAACAGTTAATAAAGAAATCCAATACGATTCTCATTAAAGAAAGGTGAAAGGCACAAAAGCGCGTGATTTCAACAATAATGAGACTCTATATCGTGAGCATAAAAAAAGATTTCGGCTATTATCACTAAAGGCATTTTCAGATGTTCACAGTAAGCACTTACTAAACGAAATGAATAAGAAACCATATCCGGTTTGAGAGATAATTTAAAAATAAGTCGCTCCGGGTTCTCGTTCAATCGGTATGAATCGTGAACTGCGCCATATGAAATCGTCATGGGATTACTACATCAAATAACTCTTCTCGCAGCAAGCTCCAGCGACTTCCTTAAAAATCTCTCATCTTCATTCGCACCRCAGAGGCTTCCTGTACATGAATGGCGCCATGGATAGCGCTAGATTTTTTTTAAATAGACCTACAGGATATATCACCAATGCCAACAATGCGGTTAAATGACTGCGCATGCGCGAGGCCAACTTATGAAGAACGGAAATTTCGGACTCAATTATTCTAGAAAGAATTATACCTGCACGTTTTAGCTCTGCCTTTTCTGGATAAAACTAATTAAAGATCTGTCGGGGCATGGGAAGACAAATGATTCATATAAATTATTTAGGCAATTAAGATTTGAATTTCTGAGTACCCATAATACTCTTCGTTCTTAACTTCAACGATGCGACCCATCGAACCTGAAAACGAGTAGGTGTAGAATGTAAGATAATGTCAGCGCATTGAGTTTTAAAAATGCGCTCTAAGCACATCATAWTAGTATTAAAGCATTCTTGGAGCGATTGGTACTCAGGGACATTCTGAATCGAAAACAGGAAAAAAATTTAAATGAAACGAATTGGCATTACTTTAATCCTTTAAGTTTTCGATTTTGATGCAGTTGTCGATACAGTATATCATCCAAAACATATGTATTGATGAATTAGCTATCATCAGATTTACGTATACCGAACCCTCTTATCCTCTTATATCTCCATCTGTATCTTCCTCGTTATTGGAGAAACCGCAACAAAAACGCATTTGTGCAAAGGGTAACGATTGAGCCAAGAAATGMAATCATCGCAATGAAAATGYAGTTGTTTGCAGAACAAGACCTGCTCAAAGTCATATTGTAAAAAAAACAAATACAGAAAGATCTTTTCAATGACTATAGGAATCATTCAACATGTATATCAAGCTTTTGACACTCCCCAGTGTACTAAATAAAAGGTTTCATTATAACCTCATATCACACAGCTAGCAGATTGTTAAAGGTTAACACAAATACATTAGTATTAGTAGGAGCGTTTTTCATCTATAGAATCATGAAGTTTTGCTATCATGCTGAGACAATGCTGGATCTCAACATGTCGCGGCTCTTGTCGCGGTTCACACTGTCAGGTAAAATCGTACATTTAACTACTAGGCATTTATCCGGGGGACGGTGTTGGCCTTTTCAAGATGTCGAGTACGCCGCACACTTACAGAGTCCCCCGGACTTTGTTAGGATTTTGTCCCCCGGATTTAGTGCGACAACGCCACCTAATAAGAACATTTTCAAAGAGATAGGACGTCRATGACCCACTGTGGGTCGAAAACTAACGATGCGGTGGGCTGTTTTAAGTCAGTCCCCATCTAGTACATTTGTTCAATACGTGTAAACGCACAGATATAGTTTAATCGAACAGTTTTTCACGAAGCAGTTCACTCAATATCAAATGAAATGACAGTTATCAACAAAAAGTCAATCACAAAACATATTTCAAACGTGTTTACTTGCTACTGTGGTGTCTTGCCTAAAATTCCAAGAAATCGTTGTCTTCCTCACAAATTTCTTCTACAAAAGACAAAATACAATTTACATGTAAAAGTTATAACAGTAACAGTCGATTTACAATAAAACTCAAGTGACGTCGTCTAGTCATGCACCGAGTGAAGTCCACCATACCTTGGACTGGCGATCTTTATGTGTGTTTCAGTATTAAGTTGATGGACCACCATGCAGTGTGCTCATTTCAGTTTGTTCTGAATATTTAGAAACAATATTAGATAATTAAATATCCACTGCAGCCACGTGGTTTCACAGCCCTCATGCAGTCACGTGGTTTTACAGCCCTCATGCAGTCACGTGGTTTTACAGCCCTCATGCAGTCACGTGGTTTAACAGCCCTCATGCAGTCACGTGGTTTAACAGCTCTATTTCAGTTTGTACTAATCAGTGAGCGCGCCTATTAAGAACAATCGTTATTACGGATTCTATCATTTTATTATAAGATTTAAATCCCTCATCCTTTCGTACCTGTCAATGGCTGGTTTTCTGTCTCTACTCTGTCTGTATTTTCCTAACGCATTACAATATCAAAGAAAGTATAAGTATTATATCTAATACTTATATCTAATAATCACGTGAGCCTGGTAAGTTGACAAGAGCGGGAAATTACGAACACTTTGACGCGCGGTCGCCCTGTGTCGACACAGCAAGCGATGAGAAGCTGCTGGCTCGTTTTACTCTTCCTTTTCTCTAGATAAAACAGCGAGACACAATACTTACTTCAGCAATGGCAGACATCTTGTCACCTTGCTTGTTGTTTGCTGAGCCGAAAAGAGGAATAAACTATTAACATTTTCATTTACAAACCACAGAACTATTGTGATATAAATTAAGAGATCAAGGTGTACCTAGATCACCACCTAGAAATGACATGTGTGCCATTTGTGCAAGAGCCTCCTTTAGTCCAATGTTGGCTCCTTCTTCTTCATCATCAGAGTCTGACTCCTGTTCAACAATCTCATACAACGTACTATGTGCGGTTTCCTAAAATAGACAATGAAGAAAATGTTCAGCCAAAATYTAACTGCAGCCTTGAATGTCATTAATTCAACAAGTGTAATATGTTCTTACGAAACATTACTGGTCATAGTGGAAGAGCTGTTTTACCTCTTTTGACATCATCTTTTTCAGATAACTGATTCTTTTAACCCTTGAAGTGAGTTTTGCATAGTCTGCACACGACTGCTTTAGCCTAAAAGGTAATCCAAATTTATTAAAGTACATGAAAACATAGTCAACGATATTCACAGTCATAAAGTAAAAGTGTAAATATATGCAAAGATAGAAAACAGACCTTGTTATCTTTTGATCCATAGCAGGTCTTGTCTTAAAAATATCAAGTGGGACAGTCCTGAGCTCTAGAGAAAATTCAGAAATTTAGTGATATGATTTTACACTAAGAGGAGAGTAATAATATAGTAAACACGGCCAGATACTGTTGTTTGRTATAYTATTACTCCCCYACTAACTTACTGATGAAGGATAATTTCTCAAGATTTTCAAAAATATTTTGAAAATGAATGGGAAATATCTGACGGAACTATATTGTGACATAGAAATTTTAGATGGTCCATTTTTYATTTTTCAGGAATAATACAACAACAACAACAAATCATTACCCTGTCTGCTAACCTGATTTTGTGGAATAATATTGTTGAATACCCAATAAGCCTTCTATACATACCATAGGTTRGACTGATATCAGGCTCCAAATTAAGAACTTTGACAGTAAATGGAATAAACTTGGGGTGTGTGACTTTTTGTGGAATGCTGGACACACTGCAAACAACATCAACAAATGTATTTTTTTATATTATAAGAATTATCAGCTCTATCAYTTAATCTCTACTCTCCTGAATGTACCTCTCCTAAGTCAATTAGATATCTAAACGTCAATTTATTATCAACATACCCTAATACATTCAATTTAGTCCCTGGTGGGTCAAGTCTTGGAAATGCACTCTGTTCTACMACTTCTTTTGGAGTGTGRACATTGTCAATCTATCAGGAGAATAAATGCAAATTATGATTCATCCTTTGACTCCCGTTTGCCCTATACAAACACTAGAGTAACCAGTAGTACTCATGCTATACAATATTGGGTTGTTTACCTGTTCCGATAAGCCATAGCCAAATGTACCATATGCAAAAGCAAACTCTATACTGATGTCACCAGCATACTGCAAAGTGAATAGTACATGCTTTACAGGATAGTTAAGCATGGAATAGTTAAATAGCACATATAAAAGAAAAGAAATAATCAGTGAACAATGCGTCCACCATCTTGAAAAGTGAGCACCGAATTACTAAATTATAACTTACATAAATTATATAAGGAATTAAAAGCTTCTTAGCTAATGACAAGTTAATATAATACAATATATGATAGATAAGTTGACTTAGAAATGACCAAAGGCACAACATAGTAATTCAGTGCTCACTTTTCAAGATGSCAGACGCATTGTTCTCTGAAAGTACTGATGCATGTATAGAAASYATATTTGTACTCATTAGCAAGTGTACTTCATAGGCTACATTCTTCATTGTAAAGGCAAATTTATTAATATATAATAAACGTCTCATATTGATGGAATTTGTTCACACACTGTTATATGAACAATTCAATTTATTGTTTATTTTTCTACAACAAGAGTGTATACTCTTCTCCATTTGGGACAACCCCTTACAACTTACTGAAACCATCTTCCTTTATGCCATCATCATCATGAGTAGTCCTGATTAAAATCCAAACAACAATATAAGATAAAAACAAAAACATGTCATACCCTCTTTTTCTTGTTCTGCAGCTCAAATGAATCCATGGACCACTGTTTCTGAAAGTTAAAGTTTAAAAACTTTGAAAATTACACATTCTTTTATTCTATCAACTGAAGCGATTTAAAAAACATTAACGCCACAAGTACTATATCCAAATGTAATCAATAATTAATATACCTTCACAATTTTGTGCAAATGAAATTCAATTTTTCCCAGAAGTCTGTACTTTGGTCTTGTTTGTTGTTTATCAAATCCAATTATAGCAATGTGGACTTTATTCAAACCACTGCTTATTTTAGGAGATACCTAAAGTGGAATAGAACCAACAATATTTAAAACTGAGTGGTRAAAGCTAGAAAAGATRTGGAAAAACCATCAAAGCAAGGGATAGAACAAAAGAAGCTCAAATCACATATGGTGTTYCACCAAGAATCAAACAGGATTAACAGAGGTTACAGGCTAGCACATTCACTGTTCAGACACCCTTGTTTCCCAGTAGCTTTGGGATCAWTATCACAACTCAGCTAAAATCAGGATCATTGCCAAATCTAGATCAGATTAATAAAAAATACATAGGATCATTCAATTTTGGGGGAACAGGGATCAAATTCAACATTTTTTTACAATAMAATCAAAAGTAAAACATAATAATACAATATCATCACCCTTCTATCATGTATTAACAAATTCAATAAAAATAGTAAAATAGATAGTTTACGACATACTGCAACAGAAAAGTTTTTAACTTCATCCCAAATAACTTTTCCTTTCTTAAAGCARGACTGCACTGATGTACACTTAGATGAAAACCCAATTGTGATGTCAGCATACAAGCCGTAGTGATCTGGAATGATTTCTTTGTCCAGGTAAAGATTGGTACATCCAAACACACGAATAGCAAGCAATCCAACCTGTCAGTGAATACAATTTTAATAGTTTTAATAGTATACCACTTAGAGTATTCAATAAAGAACAGATAGTTACTTCAAAAAAGCACATTCTTAAAGCTTACAGGTACGTTSGGGTTCTCATTTAGAAGTACATCTCCTTCCTCATCTTTCTTCTCATCTCCACCTTTTAGAAACAAATAATTTCATAATATTGCGAATTCAAAAGGAGCATTTCAAATACCTCAACTTTATTTTTTTCTTAGCTTCTTTTGTTGGCCTGTCATGTCAAAAAGATATGATGCCATCTTTAAAAGTCAAATGATAAAGTCTAAACAACGTTTGTCCCCTCCGGATGGCCAGTTAGTCTTTGACCCACAGCTAACAACTATAAACGGTCTTTGATCTAGTAAATTTTGCTTTGATACTTTAAACTTTCAAAACAAAAACCTCACTGAATGTAATAGATCTATCGATATATCTGATATATTGAAATTTGTTGACGTGCAATTTATAGCTCATAACACAACTGAGCGCCATTTTGTTGATTTCAATTTTCTTGAAAAACGTCATTTCTATATAACTCTACAGCAGCTAAAGTTCTCTTACCTATCCCCGGAATTACTGAAGCAAGGTCGGATAACATTGGTCTGTCATAACATCTCTAAAACAGCAGTAAAATATGGTTTACGGTGCAATAAATTTTGAACAATGCCGCCATTTTTATCATGCCGTCCCATCGACCCCCAGTGACCTCGATGTGTAATGATGATGTCATAGAGCGGATTTCGTATGAGTGGGACACCGTTACCGCACGGTTACCGCACAGTTACCAAACCTGGCCTGCACAATTTTGGTGAATCAATGGGGCACTAGAATTTGGTTACAGTACGATTACGGTCACAGTACAGTACTGTCCGTTTCCCACTCACACGAAATCCGCTCTAACTGAATCCTTGCAGACTTTAAAAGGTCCTTAAGTTATTGTGAAGTTTCAAGCGATCTCGAGCTAATGAAACTGTGCTTAAAAAGTTGTTATTAATTTTGTTCGTTTGTGAGAATATCTGTATGGTGGAGTGCCCCCAAATCCTAGAATCAAGTGTTTGCAAGTGTTTGCCCGGACTGAGGGTACCCCCAGGGGCCGGTTGTTTTGTCCAAGGGATAAATCCATACAAAATCTATGGAGTAGATACTTTTTTATCCACAACCGGGAAAAAGAGGTTGATCTAAAAACGACCTGAAGCAGTGTCAGTATACAAAAGTTAATTATTTGAGCTCGCTCTAGAATGTCAAGATTTTTAGTCGGCGTGCATGTGTGTCTAATGCGATACAGTAACACACTCCTAGCTACCCCATGTCATCAAGAATTATATTTTAGTCTATTGGTGAACAACTTTGCAAGGTGGAGTTGGTATGAGAGCTTTATAGGTGAGAAGGTCTAACTTCATAGAGGGTACCCTCCCTCCGGACGGGACTTAAAAGTTTATCAGATTTTTGGGGATCTATTTTCGCGTTTTATCATCAAAGGTCAATGAAATGTTACTAAAATTAAACTGGCAGGCCAACTGCTATAAACTAAACCAGCCGAGGTCACCATTCCCTATCTATACCATGCCATCATAACAAACACATAAAAACTAACGGATAATGGGATATATTTGTTTGTAGTTTATATATTGTCAGCTGATTTGCTGTTATCCTCTCAAAAAAAGCTTACTCCACACTCAAATCATGATGAATGGTGAATGGTGAAGGGGTAGAGACCCCCTTGATCAATTCTAGTTTCAATGCTATTATGATCCGTTGCCCTGACGGTAGTCGGTGTTGAGAATTATACAGGTCTCAATTGCGTAAAAGGATGCATTTTTAGCTTATGATAGAAAATTTTCACATTAAACGGTAGCATTTTCCCAGAAATTTACTCTTAGATTTTCGAAATAAACGCACGTGTCTAGCGCGTGGCCCTGTCACTTTCTTTACGCAATCTGACACTGACGTCATTAAGAAAACAAAAGAGTGACGTAAATAACAGGCGATTGAGACAGGACAAGATGGCCGCGTTTTATCGCTACTCGTGTTTATGGCACGGTTGCGGGAAACAGTGTGGCTCTTTACTCGATTTGATAGACCACATYGAGCTTGTACATATCGAGAAAGATCAGAGAATACTTGAAAAGCAAGAATCTTCTTCTCCAGCCGCTCTTCCTCTGTCGTACATCAACTGTTTCTTCACCGAAGCGGCTCGCCGGGCTCAACAAAAAGAACATGAACAAATTAATGACACTTCAACGCCAAATACAGAACATACTATAAAAAAGAAGCGACCTACATCGCCTAAAATGACTTTTCATACTATTGGTAACTCAGAGGCTTTCGACATTGGGGACGAAGATGGGAATATGAGCGATAAAAGTGACGAATCGTGGAGTTCCGATCAGAGTTTCCCAAGCGACTTCATATTGAACGCTCAAGTAGTTGCAGTGGACGGAGGCGAAGGAAAGAGATACGTTTGTCCKGTCGCTGGTTGTGGAAAGCGCTACAAAAACGTTAATGGTATTAAGTATCACGCTAAAAATGGACATAAAATTCATAAGAAGGGAGAACATAAGGAGAAAAAGGCTCATAAATGTCACTGTGGAAAGAGCTATAAAAGTCCTAGTGGACTACGGAACCACATGCAATCACAGCATTCCTCATTCACCACACTACCCCATTAAATATTTAATTGTCCACTATTTATTGAATTTGCAAAAGATATAGGAAGATGAGTAGAAATAGAATTGAAAGATTTTACTTAGGACACGTTATTTGAAGATTTGTACATATTGTTTGCACCTTGAACTTCCGCAAGACGCAGTTTGACAACCGAAAATGGAAGTTACTTTGTGWAATTCACGATATTATGTCTGCACGTGGAAGCGATGTAACGAAAAGTTGGTATTGTGCTGTATTGTATGGTATATAGTATTATGTAAGACCTTACTTTCACCCCACTTCAATAGACTGGYAACTTCGCACTTATTTATGGAGTGTAAACATGATTAGCGACACTGTCAGTGAACTTACGTTTGCTCAGATAGTTTCCACAATACTTCAAAAATATAGCTATTTTATCATTTTTATTGTAATTATTTACATTCTTTTAATGTAGAAAAACATCTGCTCATGTTGAAATTAACAAGGGCTTTGAAATGAACAAGTAATTACCGATTCCCTGGGGATAACGATGTAGTCTTCCATGATCAGTTATTGTCTGGGTAATTGTGTATCCTGGTGACATAATTACGATTCAAATGGGACATTTTTTTTTGCTGTTAGTGTTTTGTTACCAAGGTTATACGTTCTATTTTTGATTTGCAAACTTTTTAATAGTAATCAAAAAATAATGCTGTCTCTTTGAAAAATCACAGTACTGCAGTCGTCTTATAGATATAATTTTTATTCATTGAATTATTCTGTTTCTCTAAAGTAAAAAGAAAACTTTTTAATATTATCACATGCACATCATAAAATGAATCTTGAATCATCAGTCGTAACTTTCATGCATKGAAATCAAAAATCAACTAATCATGGAAATCATGGAATGTCCAATAATTGAAAATTATTTGAGTACTWCATCAGTCTATGTGTGTCTTTTTCCAGATTTTATTTTGCAAATGTTTGATTCTTGGGTGCAAATGAATRATAAGTGTGTTATCAAGTACTAGTAACTATTTCTTCCAAGAAATTTTAAATTTTAGATTTAAATTATTTTGTAACTTATTATATTATATTGTAACTTATTATTTATACAGAGAGATTGATTATTTGCTTACTAGATGTATAGTAAGTCACCATGTAATATTGCAGTCACTAAGATTATTAAATATTATCTACATCTTGCTTACAAAGCAAAAGAAAATAAAATCATTGTATAGAATATCTACAGTCTCCACTCTATATAACTTTCAATTGCCATAGTTATTATAAAAGTTAATTGTTATTTTAATAACATTTTTGTTTGAATGTGAGAGTCTTGGGATAAAGAAGGTCATAATTGCGGTGTATAGTCTTCTCCCAGTATTCATTGTGGTCAAAGATAAGGTGTTATTGTTTTAGTGTTAACACACTAATCAGTCCATGATTCTATAAAGTCTTCACCAATTACAGTTGACTTTCTTTGAACGACCACTCTCGTAAGTGACCACTTTTTCCAGATCCCGAGGTGGTAGCTTACGAGAGAGTTGACTGTATTACAAAACTGGCATCGTTCTTTTGGTCTATGCTAATGTCTAGAGTAGCCAATCAGGATGCAGTAGGATTATTGATGTCTATTCTATTCCACATAGACCCAATTAAGGCAATACTGACTAGAAAGTCATTGAGTTCAAGTGAAATAAAAATACAGTGAACAAGCAAGGAAGCTTGCTCCAAGGTAGTGAATGGTTTGGAAATCGTTATAGCATTGCATGCTGATTAGGTCGACTTATACAGACATTTTTCACTAAATATCAATATAAAAAAAAATTGATTGAACAAAAGTTTTGTTATGCACCAAAGATTATTAAATCTGTTTATTTTTCAACTGCTCCCTTCTCCCAAACTCTATAATGTTCTGCGTGCCACCTACAAGAATTTATTTATAATAAAACATTAGAAATTGATAAAACATTAAAACAACACCAGATTTCAAAGTATGGACGAAAAATACAGGGCAATAAAAGCGAATTATTGCGATCAATCACTCAATAAAGATCAAAAGTCAAGCAAATCATATGCACTCTCCCCTCCCTTACTCATTTTTCACTTTTCCTGTACGTCTGGTCAGCGGATTCCACAAAAGTTCTCTTCTCCCTCGACGCCATCTTTCTYGGGTGAGTTCGAAAAGGGTTTAACAATCCGCTTCAATCCTTGATTATAATTGACTTTTTTCGTATRAATTTTGCTAAAAATAAAATATAATACTTCCTTCTATTCTCAGTCTCGTTATTTTACAGTTTTKCGTGTTTGATCAAGAAAAAAAWTGCACATAAATAAAGCAGTTTTGGATCTTCATGTATCAAAAACATCAACTATTATTGTCTTTCTTTGAGCAGCCCTTTTAGAAAGTTTCTGAAATTCRTTTGATGATCAACATGAATTTAAAGCTTATATTTTCATGACTTAGTGTGTCTTTAGGCCTTATATTGCAAGGATTTCCTGGCCGAAAGCGAGAAATTGTTGCACGTTGAACCATTTTCAATACAGACTGCTTTCGAGATTCATTTAATTAACTTACATCGTTTCAATTGTTTAGCAGAAAAATATAGACGATTCCAGGCAGTGTTTCGATGCTTCCTGAGCTATCCTGAGCAGTTTTGAGGTGTACTATTAAAGAAAAAACTTTGAATTTGTTTTTAGGGTCAAAATGGGCAAGTTCATAAAGTCAGGCAAAGTTGTACTTGTTCTTAATGGCCGCTATGCTGGCAAGAAAGCTGTCATAGTCAAGAACTATGATGATGGCAGTACCGACAAACCTTATGGTCATGCTCTTATTGCTGGAGTAGCCCGCTACCCCCTTAAAGTTACCAAAAGAATGGGCAAGAAAAGRACAGCAAAGAGATCAAAAGTAAAGCCTTTTGTCAAGGTTGTCAATTACAATCACCTWATGCCAACAAGGTGAGTTAACCATCAGGGGCCAGTTGTAAGGAGGGTGAATAATTTATCTACTCTCATATAGATTTTATCTGCTTGATAAGGATTTAACCATTGGATATAGCATCATTCACCCTTCATACTACTGACTCATTATAAACTAGTTTAAACTATTCTGAGGCCACCTGGGTAATTTTTGCAGTTCACTCACTAATAATTCTAATATTCATTAAATCAACCAATTGATCAAATTTGTGCAAAGCTAATTGTGGTAATCCAAGGCTAACTCCCAAATGGATTTACCCTGATAATGAAGACATTGAACAACTGAGTCCAGTATATATATGCCCAACTGGCATATAAACATGGGTGCTTTATGTCAAGTGTTTTCTGTATATTCCAAACTCWGTTAAACTAGTAAATTAAACTTGATTCTGCATAATGAACTGGTCTGATGAACAGATTTCTCTTCAGTTCAGGGCAGTAAGTTCTGACAAGTGGAATGAGCCCATACGCTGTGGATATCGATTCCAAACCTCACACTCCTTTGTGCTATTTTATTTAGATACTCTGTTGATGTTGCCCTTGACAAACAAAACATTAACAAGGATATCTTCCGTGACCCTGCACTCAAGAGAAAAGCTCTTAGGGAGGTCAAGTCCAAGTTTGAAGAAAGGTATGACATA